GCCGGGGGGCGGCGGCACTGGATCTACGGCTGCCCGATCGCTGGCGGGAGATGTCGAACCCCGGGACGCGCAGGAACGGCTCCAGCATCAAGATCCGTCTGACAGGTACGGCCGGCGGGAGGCCCACCCGCCCCGCGGGCGCCCCCTCAGATCCCGCGCAGCCCCTCGCCAGCCCCGAATTCCCTGTAGGGCGCCCTTGGAAGTGGCCCTCCCCCACGCCGGCCGTTGTCCAGGACCTCGTCACCCCCCTCGGGCGTGTGCCCCTCGCCTGTCCCTCCCGGCCCCGCCTCCTCACCTCTCTGCACCCCGCCCCCCTACTGCCCCCCGTTTCCCTCCCTCTCCCCCACACCTGCCCCCTCGCTTCTGCCCGGCCCCGCCCCCTCACTGCTCCTCTCCTGGTCCGCCCCCTCGCCTTTCCTCTCCTGGCCCCGCCCCCTCGCTTCACCCCTCTTGGCCCCTCCGCCGTTTTTACCCCTTCAGCCTTCTCGTTTCCCTCCCTGTTCCTCCACTGCTCCCTCTCTTTTCCCTACTGGCCCCGCCTCTCGCCCTTTCTCTGGTCCGGTACCTTGCTTCTCATCACCTTCCTATCCTCTCTCGTTTTTCAGTCTCTTCCTCCTGCCCCTGCTGCTGAGGCCTCCCCTCCCACCGGATTTTCCCTTGTCCAACTTGGACTTGCTCCTTTGCTTCTCTCCTGTTCTTCCTACCCCAAACCGCTTCTTGCCCCTTCCTACCATCTTCTCTCTTACCCCCTTAGGTCTCTTTCCTGGCCCCGCCCCTCGCTGTTACACGACCCCGCCCCCCTGCTCCACCAAGCCCCGCCCCCACTCCTCCACCAGGCCCCGCCCCTGCTTGTCTTCTGCCCCGCCCCCTCGCTGCTGTCTCGCGGCCTCTACCCTTTCTTTCCTTCAGCCTCGAATTCGTCGGCCCTTACCCGGTAGCTTCTAGTCCTGTTCTCACTTCTCTTCTGGTCCAGACCTCTACAGTCTGGTCCATTTCCTCTCTCCGGCCAGGCCACTATGTACTCTTGACTCTGCTTCTTCACTTCTTACCTTTCCTGCCTCTCACTTCACAGTCACCCGGCTCCCTGCATCCCTGAGCCCCTGTAGGCGCGGGTCCCCACCCACACATATTGGAGGCTTTGGCAGCTGCACAAACGCAGACGCCTTGATTCACTCTCATTTCGTCTTCAATGAAACGCCCGTGTTTCCTAGGTGGCTCTGTAGTGCCACCTTCAAGGGTGAGCGCAACGCTCTGCCGTGGGCCTGCGGCGTGGTGATTTGGTTGTGTGTAGATGGGAATTGTCTCCTATAGGTGCCCCTCCTAACCGGCTTCAGAAATTCTACACCCTGTCTTCCATTTCTTACTCTCTTCTGTACCACAGTGCTACTGCCTCTTCTCCCCAGTTCACTGTCTGCGACTTGCCAGTTCAAATTCATCCCTAAGGCTGGATTGTAGTGTTGCAAATACGGTTCTGCTTTGGGACTTTCCAAACTCGAATTATTTCCAGTTCTCGAAAGGAAATAAAAAGTTCAGTCTAATTCCTGTCACGGACTTTCCCTTGGATTTTTCTGGTCAGTGGCCAGTCTGATGAGAACTCCAACGTCAGGGTCTGGTCAGGTCCTTTCAAAGAGAGAATGAACATTTTGAACACTTTTTGGCTTATGCATTGCCATAAAGTCATGGGTAAAATCCATTAAAACAGCAGTAGGTAATTTTTTTCGAATTAAAATTTATTTTGAACGCTCATAATTGTGCATGATCTAACTTTTTGTTTAAGAAACATTTTTTCTTCCAAAAGATGTCACATAATGGTTTAGACCCAAACTCTGGTTTTATAAAGTAATAGGTATACTTGTATCCCCAGAATCTTTTGCTTTAGGAGATAAATTCTCCTTAATGGCAGGGTGGATGGGAAACACCTATCATTCAGTATACACATTGTTATTTTTGTGGTTACATAAAAGTCACATTTTTGACATTCTAATACTTGTAAAAGTTTACTGACAATTTTAATTGGTTCTGATTGACAGTGTAATCTGTAGTTGACGTAAGACTGGTTTTAATTTTCTTGTTAAAAGTAGAAATAACTGGGTTTGTGAGTTTTGGTAGAAATGTGGGCTTGGCGCCTGTGGCTCAAGTGGCTAAGGCGCCAGCCACATGCCTAAGGTGGCAGATTCGAATCTAGCCCAGACCTGCCAAACAACAATGACGGCTGCAATCAAAAACATAGCCAGGCATTGTGGCGGGTGCCTGTGGTCCCAGCTACTTGGGAGGCTGAGGCAGGAGACTTGCTTGAGCCCAGGAGTTGGAGGTTGCTGTGAG